ATATGAGCGCAGCGCGCGGGACACATTAAACATAATTTTCAGTTTGGTAGGAATTTCTATTAGATATAGGCAACTGCGTAAGGTCATATGAGCGCCAAGGGGTGGATGTCATAGGAGAATTCCTTACAGGGAATCAGGCCTACTCTGCTCACCTCTCTAGCTTCAACAGCACAAAGTCTGCTTCGACTATCAAGGCACCCCAGAAATAGCGGGTCACAAGAGTGTGACAAACATACAAAAGAAGTAGAGGAAAATGACGATAGCAAGGATTAGGAAAGAAAAAGCAGCAGTTCCCCCTATGTTGGTCTGGCATTGTAGTAGAATGGCATTGATGAATCAGCCCATTTACAATTCTACAGTGCATAAGAACAAGATAATACCCCTCCCTTTGCGAATGGCCTAAAGACAACTTCAGTCTGTAGCAAAGCCCTGGGGGTATGGTACAGGTTGCACGCCCCTATCAACACTTTTAGATTATTTAAGAGGCGGGACCTCCGAGTTCAATAACATCCATCTCCGAAAGGGCCGAGCCTAGTGGGAAATTTGTGTAACGTGCTTCGCAATGTCGGACGGAACTGAAAATGATGAAATGGTACAGGTTTAACGCTCTTATCAACACTATTAGGTTATTTAAGAGGCGTGACCTCCAAGTTTAACATTCATCTCCGAAAGGACCGAGCCAAGTGGGAAATTCGTGTAACGTGTCTCCTTCCCCAAGGACGCAATGTCGAACCGAGCTGAGGCTCGAACCCCCGAACCCACAATCTCAAGATTACAAAACCCATAGTCTACCACTAGGCCACCGACGCCACTTTCCCTGGAAAGGAGAGGGGGGGGGGGGGTGAAAATATAAAAAAAACTGTTCAAGCTTGTAGTAGTTCAGTTAAAGCACTTTTTTTTTTATCCATTGGCCATTTCTATGAGATTGACACCATCTGATTAGGAGAAGATAAAAAAAATATGATATTGTCCAAGTGTATTCCGTGCATACTTAGTATGACAAGTAACTGTTACAGATAGAGATTCCAGGATTATAGATGTAAGTCATTGATCTGAGAGCGGCGATGATTTTAGAAATAACGGTGGTGATGAGTGATGATGTGGGATTCCGTTAATTAAGTAATGTAAGCGTTTGTCCGATCTTCCTGTGCTCCAGTGAGTCACCAGGGACGTGGTCCGTTTTAGTAACAGTTTTACAGCATTTGCAGCACAAATTAAAAAGGTCATATTATATGTGACAGCTACGGTTTTTTCCCAATACCTCCTGTGACGTCACAATGGTGTCGGTTAAGATCTCCAGGCACCGAACCAGGACGCTCCCCTACCTGTGTATGCGCGTTTGCTTGTTTGTTTGTTTGTTTAGTTTTTGTTTTTTTTTGGGGGGGAGGGGGTAGAGGATAAAAGTTGCTTTTTTTAAAGTTTCAGTAAGTGTTTTACGGCACTTGCAAAAGAAATAGTTCGAATAAGTGTGGAAGATTAGAGGTGTTACAAGAGAGTAACAAACACAAAAAAGAGGGAGGAGAGATCAGGACGATAGATGTTTGATAGGAAAGATGGAGGAGAGATAAGGACGATAGATGTTTGATAGGAAAGATGGAGGAGAGATAAGGACGAGAGATGTTTGATAGGAAAGATGGAGGAGAGATAAGGACAATAGATGTTTGATAGGAAAGATGGAGGAGAGATAAGGACGATAGATGTTTGATAGGAAAGATGGAGGAGAGATAAGGACAATAGATGTTTGATAGGAAAGATGGAGGTGAGATAAGGACGATAGATGTTTGATAGGAAAGAAGGAGGAGAGATAAGGACAATAGATGTTTGATAGGAAAGAAGGAGGAGAGATAAG